CATGTTACAGCAACTAACAAAGATTCCTTGCTAAAGGTTCCTTGAATGATTTTAGTAGAATTTAGCACAAATATGAAAAATTATCTTATCATTTTTCGCCAATCTATGCAATTCATTACTAAATCTACCGGAAATTATAACAAAAAGAGGAAAAATCATCTCTTCCTCTTACATTTTCAAGAGTCAAGACAGTACCTATTGAATCTTATATATTCTTCCCAATTACAGGTAAAGCATTAAATTCTTAATTCATCCAAAATTCATCACATTTCAAACAAAAGATACTTCTTTTTTTCCAATCAAACACCACCAAAAGTAGAACGTTACATTATTAAATCAAACATAAATTACACATCACAATTAGAACCAATAGATGCAAAAATCTATATAGTATTGTGTCAATCTCATTCTCAAATCAAAGTGAAGACACACAAAAAGTTGGTTTCTGAATATGCTTCTCATATTGTGGGAAGGAAGGAGTAGAACAAACTTAGCAACTCTCTCTCTACACCCAGGGTGTAATATAAGATAAATTATCAAGCTGCAAGCCAACATGGAAATAATAACAAACAAGAAAATGGGACAGAGAATAAAGACATTCTAAAATAACGGTCACATCAGTAACTTATGATGCAATTGTTAAAAGCCTGAACTTTAAAGATAAATTATTACAAGCAGAAGAATCCACTTCCAAGAATTGTATCCAGATATTAGGTACAAGCTGAAAAACGTGTCAAGAATATGCACCTTCAGGTATCGAAGCAGTTTCAGCTTCAACCCTTGAAGTCTCTCTAGAGGGACCGAGTCGTTGCCTATGGAATTAGTTAATCGAAAGCAGAAGACAAAAACCTCAGTCCACTTCACAACAGATTTTCCAGCACGACCACTGGAACGACTGCAAACATAAAAAATGGAATGCCACAAAAATATTTAACAAAGCAAGAACTAATGCTCTAAACAAATACTTAATTCACACATGAGATGCTCACTTGAAAAGTCTTGCCAGATTCTTATAAAACTCCTCATTCAAAGACTGTTCGCTAGATTCTTTATGTAAATGCTTCATTTTCTCAACCTGTTCGGTTGATGACAAAAGATAAGTTCCCCCAATGGTCCAACTTTTGTACAATATTGCAAATATCCCAATTTGACATAAAATTTCCTGGTAACAAATTGTGGATGATATCAAGTAACCGGAGCAATTCAAGTGTTTAAACTCGTTCAATTACAATTAACAATTTCAACTTTCATGACTGCCACGGAAGAATTCAGAACCACAGCTGATAAAGATATGAGAAATAACTGTACCAATCCTAATTACGAACTTTTCTTCTCGATTGTTTAGAACAAAAAAAAAAAAAGAGGAATAAATCGTTGATGTGTGAAGAATTCACCAGTACATGATTCAAACAGCAAAAAATCTACATAATTAAATCTGATGGCTGAGGCTGTTGAGCTAATATTTTATTTTTATTATCAGAAAAATTGGTTACCAATCACAAGCAACTTACTGGATCATTAATATACTAATACCAAAACTCAATGAAAATATAACTGGAAAGACCCAAAAAATCTCAAAAAAAAAAAATAAAAAAAAATAAATAAATTTACACCTTTAATCTTAATATCCCATAACTTAATAATACCAAACTTTTTCAAAATGTGAAAATATACCACTGTTAACGAATGATTAACCACACAAGCTTGCACAAAATACACAAGTATACATCACTTGAAACGTATGCACCCACCCGAACCGTGCTGAAGAAAAATCATTTCAATTCATCAAAGAACCAGTAAAATAAACGCATAA